TACGAAACGTCTTGGCTGGACGTTCTCAGTACGTTTTGGGGACGTACTCGTGCTATATGGGTTTTACTTGGACAAATAAGACCATGAAAACTAGTCTTAAGCAGCATCGTTTTCGAGATACCAGTGCCTTCAATTTGAATGAAAAAAATTGATTTTTCTTCATTCACTACAAAACCACTCAACAAAAATACGATATAGAGGGGATAAACTGAGTTTATATCTGTGATCAAACACGTTGATGGTATTTTTCAGCTGATATGAATACCACCATGGCGTCGTTAGGGCAATATTAATGTTTGAATCACCACTTAAATAGCTATTGATAGAACATTTTAAAATTTCATCTTGGATATGGGTCAGATCAGTTTTGATGCACCGTCTTCAAGTGAAAAAGAAAAAAACAAATTTGACTACGAATTTTGGTGTAGGTGTCGGAACTGTTCGGATTATCGGATAGCGATAATTGATATCATTTTGGAATGTTGGCACCATTTTAGTCACATGACACACTAACTTTTGCCGTATAACGATAGCCTCGACCATCTATGCCTCGACGATAGCTCATACGCACCAGGGTGCTAATATGAAACATTTACGATTATTTCCAATTCAAATGCCCTGTATCTCAAAACGAATCGTCTTTCATTCTATATTTTCAGGTACTATCTGAATCCGGGTGATTTCCCACATTTTCTCAGAGATTAATCACCGGTCAAACTACATATAGGTATCAATCAATGATTAGGAAAAGCTTATAGCGGAAATATCATAATTATCCTGATGATGTCATATATGGCTGATTACTATTATTTTGTCGTATGACACGCTTTTCTTGATGCACGTCAAGTTGTGAAATAATCATCATAAACGCTGCTCCATTATTCAATTAATGCAGAGATTTTATTTATTGCTATATAGGTGTAATTATAATGTCCTCCATCGAATAATATTTTGAAAAATCCTCGGGCAGGTCGATTTTTATTTTCGAAAGTCAATTATTTTACATAAAAATTCCCAACCACCTGTCAACCTCCTACCCTATAGATCAACCCCTTCAAAATTATCAAATCATACCTTTACAAAAGCCTAATATTGGACATTTTGTCAAAATTTTTGGTAATGGAGTGTATTATCTCTGGTAATGGTATATGGTACCGACAGTACAGTTAATTTACCTATATTCAAGATGAGTTTCACATACTGAATGTTCGTCGATGCATCATGTATATATATATACATACAATGTAATGGTAGGCATAGGTACTGTATCATTGTATATATAGACGTATACAGACATTCAGTATGAAAAACTCAATGAGTTTTTCAGATGGATTAACTGTACAAAAATACCTATCATTACCGAAAATGTAGACAATACAATACCAATACATTTTGAATCTCTCGACTTCTTTGCAGATATGACAACCGAATTTGAAAAAAAATATACACCGTGTCCCAGCTAAAATGTCCCCGCCTGTGAAAAATCAACCGCGCGATCGAATGACTTGTAATTTGGTCACCCAGTATATGTGATGATGCTCACTCGAAATATGCTATTGAATAAATTGTAGGTATACAGGGTCACACCGAAGTACATCTCAACTTTCTTTTTTAAAAAAGAACACCCAGTAGTATATTATTCCATATTCAAGTAGAGTTAATTATTACAAATTCAACAATGCCGGGTTTGATGAGATTTTTTCCAATGACTACGAAGATATAGCAAAAAATAAAACGATTCAATAAAAAATTTATATGATTAGATTTTATTAATATAACACGATTATAATCGAATGATGAGTGTCCTGCACATAACTACAGACTTGTAAAGGATTATCTTTGCCATCAGTTTGGAGAAAATCTAATAACCACCAATTGTCTCGATGGTGATAGCAACTGGCCAGCTCGATCGCCAGACCTCACCCCACTTGAGTTTTATTTCTAGTGCTACTCGAAACAACAGGTTTATGAGTCGCCAATTGGGAATATGGAAGAAATGAAAGAGGAAATCACAAATTTATGCGCACAAATTGATTGAAACGTGATACATAGGGTCACAATAAACGTTATCAAAAGAGCTAGGAAATATTTGCAGCAGAAAAGATGACATATTGAGTAGTTGAAGTTTTAATTTTTTTTTTCATTCGATTTCAATCGGGTTTTATTAACAATATCTAATCATATAATGTTTTTATTGAATCGTTCTATTTTTGCCATATCTTCGTAGTCGTTTAAAAAAAATCCCATCGAACCCGGCATTGTTGAATTTGTAATAATGAGCTCTACTTGAATATGGAATAATATACTGGGTGTCTCTATTTAAATAGGAAAGTTTAGGTGCACTTCGGTGTAACCCTGTATACCTACGATTTATTCAATAGCATATTTCGGGTGAGCATCATCAAATATACTGGGTGACCCAATCTCAAGTCATTCGATCGTGAGGTTGATTTTTTACAGGAGGGGACATTTTAGCTGTTACACGGTGTATACCGTTGTATAGAGATTTGAAATACCATTCTGACAAGGTTCAACTTGACCTCTCTTGTGTTTAAAATTTTGAAGGGATTGATCTGTAGGGTAAGGAGGTTGACAGGTGGTTGAAAGTTTTTTTGCAATAAAAATAGATTTCCAAAAATGAAAATCGAACTGTTCAAGGATTATTTGAATCATATTAAATATTTTCGACAATGCAGTGTTGCCGCTTCTACTAGAAAGTAGTTGCAACATTGATATTTCAAACGGATTCTCCTTGAAGAGCTGATTTTATCGACATACCACACTTGGGGGTCTATCGAAAAAGATTACAGAGATATAGGATGTTCAAAATCGAAATTTTTCAACTTCAGGATTTTTTTGTGTCGAAACTATTCATTTTCGGTCAAAACAGCTCACATGTCCCAATCTCAGTAATCTCTGGTTCAAGATTCAGAATTCTGATCACCCTGTATCTGTTCTGATTGAATATCAGTAAATAGTAAATCAAAAGTTGAAATAGGAACATGTGAGCCGTTTTGGCGGATAATAAATAGTTTCGACACAAACAAATCCTGAATTTGAAAAATCTAGATTTTGCACACCCTATATCTCTGTAAACGTTTCCGATAGACCCCAAGTGTGATGTTTTGATGAAATCAGCACCTCAGGAAGAATCTATCTTTCCGATAGAAGCTTGCTGAAAATATTCTAAATAAAGAGAGCTTATTTCAAAATATGAGCATTTATATTTCCATGGATTTCTCCTGACTTATTCTCGATATAGAGATAGTGTAATCTGGTCCTGACATACCCTGTATTGAGGAAAAACTCTTAGAAAGCATATTAATATCTTATGAAAGCAAATGTTTAGGAAACATTCAGTATATTATGTGAACTTTGGGATTCTGTCCGAACGAAACAACTCTGTTTCAGTGCATAGTACGAGTAAGTATATTGTTCAATTAAATCTATATTTTCCAGAGGAAGCTAATATATTTATTTCTCAATTTCCTCGTCGAATTTTGACACCCTTCATTCTCTGTTCTATGTAATGATCTAATACAATAAATTGACAATTGTTTTGTTGTTTTATAATCTCAAAACCAGTGATATACCTACTTCCCGTATAGCCAGGAAATCAAAACCTGTTCAGAAAACCCATTCAGTGTGATGAAAAAATGGATAATCCCTCTTCCCATTCTCAGGTGCAATATTACACCCTACCAATTCGAAAGAACTGGAGATGCAGAATATTATACCTACTTAAAAAAGTCATTGTGTTGAATTTAGGGTTAGAATAAATCGATATAAATTATGAATACGTATAGGTAGAATGGTTTCTCTAATGGAACATATTTTCTTTCCTATACAGGAATAAACCATACATAATTTCAATGACTTGATTCTAAATAATGTCACTGTATATAAAGCAGTTTCATATATATTTTATTCATCTTTCGATTCCATTTTTCGATTGTCAACTTCGTAGAAATATAAATAATTCAATTCAATCTGAACTATCTAATGTCATCCAAAGATATGTTATGTTATTTTTATCTCATCATTTCTTCAAGCACATTGATTGAGATATATGAAAGATTATGTCAATTGTCAATGAGTATATACCATATATTTAATTTTTGGATGAATCTATATTGTTCAATTAGCGGAGAAAGTATACCTATAGTTGTTTATTATTGGATTGACCATCAATAATCACTAAAATAATCATACGAATATTTGTGTCTCTTAAAATATCAGAGTGCGGTATCCATTCTTTCAAGGGTGCATTCGAAAATATTAGATGGAACAAAACAAACCATCGAATAACAAATTTTTCAAAATGTGTCGAATCTTTTTTGGACGTTCCTTCGCAAATTGCGCACACTATATAATATATATCATAAAGTGAGGATTTAGAAATTGGTTGATTGCTCAGATACAAAAATATACCTACCCAAACCACCAAAAGAATGTTTGGTAATGAAATGCCTGAAAATGTATTTTGTAACTCGTTTGACAAGATAGGTACCTAAGTGAGTTGAATCCGAGGTTGAATCTAAATAACAAAGTGACTCTTAATACTTCTCAGGTCTACTGATGATGACAACTTCGTTTCCAAAATTGGTAACTATACTCGTTCAGGTAATTTGAACTATTTTTGCATGTTTTAGGAGATATTATGGTACCAAATTGTATACCTACATCAAACAGGGATAATGGGATATGTGACTGACGATTATTGGAACTGAAATCAAAAAGTGTAATGCAGTCAACGCTTCTGTAACAATCACTCTCTACACAAAAACCTGATGGGCACATGCAAGATACAAAGATTAAATTCTCTGGTGTGGCGCCTATTTGAGATTTCTACGTTACTGTTCTTTAGTCTTAAACATTATGGTACCTATACCTGATAAAAAAACAACCTGACATCAGCATCAGTAGTTCTGGCGACTACCGAACTTAACATTTTCAGCAGTATCAACAAACAAGAGTAGAAGAGATAAAGGAAGACTTACCATTTAGATTTATCATCCTCTCTAGGTAGCTTTGGAATTCCATTGTCTCAAGGCACGTGCCACTCGATAACAGAGAAAAATAAACAAACAAGAGAATTATTATCGTATGTTTTGCTAGATCATTCCGAACGAAAACAAAATCAAAACAAATTGATGCGAGTAACACTATTGAGATGATAATACGATATAGGTATAACGAGTAAAAATAATTAATAAAACAAAACGCGAATCAGTTAACGAATATAAAAAGAAGAATATCGAAAATAACACGAATTATAAGTAAATATCTATAGAAAACGCGAACAAATTAATATATCAATGTATTAAAACGATAAATCACGAACAGTATCACAAAGTTTCCGAAAATTAAAAATAAATATCGATTATGAAAAACGAAACAATAAATAAAAATTATTTAAATTAAACTATAAAAGTAAAAATGCAGGTCTTGGTATCACATATGTTTAGCTGTTGGTTGTCTGATACAGACTGATTTGAATCTGGCAGGGATGATTCCCTATACTGTATAGTTCTGGAAGCTGGAGATGGTAAATCTGCACCCTTGTATCTGATTTGCATCAAGAAGTGAAATGGGTTTATGCAAGGGTTGATGAGTGTGCAAAGGACAAAATGAGATGGGACGGTATTATGCAATAAAATAGAGCAATAGGGCGCAAAGGGTTGAACGGGGTTTTGTTTGGTCGGCAAGGGTGGGGAATGATTTTCTGGCGAGGGATTGGTGGAGGTCCTTGTAATTATGAGATTATTTTCATTGTTTATATAAACATGTATAATGTATATATAGTTTAGAGGAAAGGATTGGGGCAGTTTGAGCGCCAAGATTTTCCGTTAAGAAGGTTGAAAGGATTTTTTCTAAGCACAAAATTGCTCTTGCTTTACTGTGTTCGATGAATCAATGGGGTACTTTGTAGTCATCAATATCATTTTTCTACGGCAATAACATAAGATTGCTCTTGTTTAACTGTGTTCGATACATTGTTGTTCTAAAAAAAAGTGCAATGACAGCTCTGTCTAATAGATGAGCACTACTTGACAGGAAATCAGATGGCTACAAGGCGAAGAAATTGGAAATGCCGCTGTTATCTACACTCAGTTCCAACAAAAGTGACGCACTTGATATTTGACCTATCTTCTTAAAAAAAAAATAGTAGACCGATTTTTATTTTTTTCATTTGTCTTTAAAAAAAAATAAAGAGGTGAACATTTTTTCAAAGCCTCCCTGATGATGGTGTAATAACTCGAACCATAATTTATTCTTACTTTTTGACTCACCCTGTGTGTTAATTGAGTAATGGCATAGAAAGTGCTTACACCCTTTACGAAAGAGGATTCTTTTGCGAGCATTTTGTTCTTATATTCATTGATTTATCTCTAAAATTTTCCGAATTACAGCTTTTTTGCTGAATCCTTGCAGATTACCAACTTTCTAAATCTATCGAGAAACAGTTTTCTAATGAAATAAACTAATACCAATAATTTAAAAAAACATTTTTATTAAACACAAAATTATGAATTGGGATGACTGCTTAATACCGTGTATTGCCTCCTCTAGCAACTCTGAGAACTTCTTATCTACGAGGCATACTGGAAATTAAGTTGCTTATCGTTTCCATTGGTATACGATCCCATTCTTCCACTAATGCATCTGCCATTTCTGCGAGACTTTCCGGAGACCTCTCGCGAGAACGTACCCTTCTCCCTAATTCATCCCACAAATGTTCTATAGGATTCATATCGGGGCTTCTCGCAGGCCATTGTAGTTTCGCAACATTGCTGCGGTGTGTGGTCGAGCATTATCCTGCATCAATATAAAATTATTGCCCACTAACTCTGCATAAGGTAAGACATACTGCTCTAAAATGTCAATGTAAATTTGGGCATTCAACGACTGCCTCGCCGGTGTCTTTCCATGCATTGAAATCCCTCCCCACACCATAACGGACTCACCATCAAATCTTTCGCATTCTGTTATTAAATTTTGATTAAACCGTTCACCAGTTCTTCTCCACACTCTTTTGCTTCCATCCACCATGTTAAGGCAAAACCTTGACTCATTCGTAAACAAGACATTCGACCATTCAGGAATATTCCACTGTCCATAATTTTAAACAAAATTTCTACTAGCAGCACGATGTTCGGGTGACCTTTTGCAGGGTCTCCTAGCTTATAAATTAACTTCTTTTAGACGTCTACATACCGTCTGCTTACTTACTGCACCATCACGAATTTGGCGAAGATCTTGCTGAACATTTACCGCAGTATTTGATCGATTCCGTAAAATCCGCAATCTCAAGAAGCGATCATCTCTTGGAGAAGTTTTTCGGCGACCAGAACCGACCCTCCGAGCGGTGCTTCCTGTTTGTTTGATTGTTTGTGGATTGTTCTAGGAGCAGTTTCAGCAGTTGCCTCATGAACTCCCACTGCACGAGCGGCGTAACGTTTACTACGCCCATCGTTTACTAACGCAACTAATCTTGCTACTTGTTCAGGATTTATTTGAGGCATTTTATGTAATTTTGATCAATAAAACAAGACACTTAATTGATGACACAACGACAAATGGTCAAATATGGAGGCATACAACAAATAAGTTGCTATGGCAACGGCATTTGTTTTTTTAAAGACAATGTGATCCTACCAGAGTACAACCCAATCAATTTTGAGTACTCTGATCCTTCAATAAATTCAATTTGTGGGATAAGCGTAAGGTATCATCAAAAAAACTGTCATTCGGAAAATTTTAGAGATAAATCAATAAATAAAATAACAAAATGCTCGCAAAATCATGGTTCGAGTTATTCCACCACCATCTAGGAAGCTTTGAAAAAATCTTCACCTCTTTATTTTTTTAAAGACAAATGTATTACCTACCAACAAATAGAAAAAAAAATCGCCCTACCTACTATTTTTTTTTAAGAAGATAGGTCAAATATCAAGTGCGTCACTTTTTTGGAACTGAGTGTATTATAGCCGTGGAAAAATTATAGTGTATAACTTGCACGGAATGCTGATTTCCTACTCGAATGATTGCAGCATTCGCCTATGGCTCATGCTGCAAACTTCATTCTCGTAGGAAATCACTATCATTCCGTGCTCGTTAAACAATATTCTATTCCGTATCTGTATCACAATGACTTCATTGTGTTTATATTTCACAAAATCTCATCTCCCATGAAATGTCAAATTTCAAGTACCTAATGACAGCTCTGTCCAATAGATGAGCATTACTTTTACTTAAGAGAAAATCAGAAGGCTACAAGCCGAGAAAATCAAACATTCAGCTGTTATCTGTCACAGTCATAGAAAAAGTATAGTGTATACCTCGCACGGAATATTAATTTCCCAGTCGTATGGTTTGCAGCATTCTCGTGGGAAATGACTAGATAGATAGATTCTTTATTGCTTACAAAGACATTATAGTCCTATAGCAATGATTCTGTGAATTCTGATGCCGTGCTCGTTAAACAATATACTATTTTTTTAACTGATGGCTCCACGTCCATTATATGATGTGACGATTTTTCAATTTTTCAGACGAGAAAGACGAGTCACAAAAATTCGAAATTCTCACAAATGTCGTTTCGAAAAGTTTGACTCCATATCTTTTATTCCTATAGATAGGTATAGGTATGTACAGTCGTCTTCAGAAAACATGTCGTGGTTGGACGGTGTAAGCGATCTTATTGCAGCAGTGATTTAGAGAGCACACATGCACCGTCCATGTGCGACATGTTCACTGAAGACGAGTGTACAGAGAAAGCAAATATATTTGCAGAGATGTTCGCAGCAAACTCCACTTTAGATTCCCAAGGAAAAGTGCCGCCACCTGTTGAGAGTCGAATGCCCGAAATCGTCTTCCGTCAACGCACTATCAGACGAATTTTGCTTGGTCTCAAAACGAATAAGGCTAACGGTCCTGATGGAATTCCACCCATTATACTCAAAAAATGTGCAGCAGAGTTAACACCGATTATCTGCAAGTTGTTTACCGTCTCGTACAGGTCGAGTATTTTTCCATCATGCTGGAAGACAGCTAGAGTCCAACCAATCCCCAAAAAAGGGAACAAGAACCTGCCCCATAGCTACAGGCCCATTGCCCTGTTATCAGTAATCTCCAAAGTGATGGAGAAAGCCATCAATATTGAGCTTATCAAATATCTGGAGAGCTCAGGAATCATCAATGATAGACAATACGGCTTTCGCCACCGAAGATCTACTGGAGATCTACTTGCCTACGTCACCCATTTATGGCAAGCTTCATTAGAAAAACACGGGGAATCTCTAGCTGTCGCGTTGGACATATCGAAAGCATTCGACCGTGTTTGGCACGAAGGACTCCTCCACAAACTACCATCATACGGCCACCATACGGCTCACCACCTCAGCTATGCCATCTCTCATCGAGTTTTCTTTCAGGCAGATCGCTTCACGTGGTGGTGGACGGTGTATCGTCTGATACCATTGGCATCAATTCCGGCGTTCCACAAGGATCGATTTTGGCACCAACTTTATTCCTGCTTCATATCAATGATCTGTTGGGAGTAACAACTTGCCCCATCCACTGCTTCGCAGATGATAGTACCCTCCATACTGCGTTCTCTTCCAGAATTCCCATCTCTTCCCAGGAAACTAAGAACTCACGGCGCAGGCAGGTCAATGCTGTCAATGAAGATCTTGCTGAAATCACAGCCTGGGGAACCAACTAGTTGAATTCATCGCCACCAAAACTCAAGCCTGCATTTTCTCTAGAAAGGCGCCGGAACTCAGTATGCCCGATATTGTAATGTCTGGCTCAACCATCCCCACCAAGCCCACCATATCTATGCTCGATATTTCCATCAGCAACACTCTTTCATGGGATAATCATGTCAGATCCATCGCAAAAGCTGCTTCACAAAAACTCGGATTCTTGTTCCGTGCGAAAAGCTACTTTACACCTCAACAGCTTCTCATGATCTACAAAGCGCAGATACGGCCTGTTCTAGAATAATGTTCCCACATATGGGGTTCAGTACCAAAACATACGCTGATGCTCTTAGATTCCATCCAGAGAAGAGCCATTCGCCTGGTGGGTGACGCCACACTCACTCACTCTTTGACATCATTGGAACACCGTAGAAGGGTCGGCGACCTTTCACTTTTCTATCGATGCTTCCACGGGAAATGTTCTTCGGAAATCTCTGCTATCATCCCTTCACTAGCAATACCAATCAGACGAACTAGACAAGCCCAGTCAGCACATCCTTTCGTTGTCAACCTCGAAAGATGTCGAACAGCACGTTATCAAGACTCCGTCATCCATAGAACGGCTATATAGGCTCTGGAATTCATTGCCTGTGGAAGCATTCCCAGCAACATATAATCTCCAAAAGTTCAAAAAACATTCCAATACCTACCTCCTGTCCCTCTTAGATTCCATCCAGAGAAGAGCCATTCGCCTGGTGGGTGACGCCACACTCACTCACCCTTC